GCCACACTGAAGGCAGAAATGAACGCTGCCTCCACCGTGATAACAACTTTTAAGAGGTTATTTTTCATTCAAGGTCAAATTAAGATATTAGCTTCTGGGATGAGTCGGGTCCGCTCCAGCCAGTGACTCCTCATGAACCTGACCACAACTCACGTTACTGCAGCATTTGTTATTCCGGTCCGCATGACAGCGGATCACAGATTCAGCCACACCATAAAACAGCAATAAGTCGGTCTGAGGCAAAAGTGAACATCATGGCTATATCTTGTCCCCTATTGACATTTGATTACGCACAAGTAGGTGATCAGTTCAGGTTTACGCAGAGCAGAAGGAAGGAGAGCGCTCTCGCCGCACAGGGTTAAATGTTCCTACTTTAAGAAAACCGTTAAATTGCATTGTTTATGTGCTACCTGGGCACTCTAAATATTTATTTAAAATTAAATCAAAGGAAATTGTAATGGTATCGAATGCTTATTAATTACTATTTAAAAAATGAAAGTGATAGGGAATTTTTTTAACCCTCTCTGTTTAGCTTGACATCTGATATATATATATATATATATATATATATATATATAGAGAGAGAGAGAGAGAGAGAGAGAGAGAGCCATGCCCCGATGTGGGGGCAGGGGGGGGGGGGGGGGGTGCGTCGACATGGTTGGGACATAGAAGGGGGTGCGCGGCTAAATAAGTTTGGGAACCACTGGTCTAGTACACTGCTGTTAACCACTAAAACCACTTGGTTCGCTGTTCTCGAACCAAGATGGCGGCACCTGAACAACGCGAGGCTCAGTGTCTCTCCAGAATCTGCTATTTAGCGGTTTTTTATCTAATTTTAACCAAATTATTCATCCAGAATTGCTGTGCGTTGCTGACCTACAGCAGACAAGAGATTCTGGACATCTGGACTTATAACTCCAACAGTTTTATAGCCGATCTCCAACTCATCCCAGAGATCTCCAGAACACCAGAGGCTGCCCCCCCACCCCCCCACCCCCCACCCCCGGCCGGGTGGAAGTGTATGCAGACGGCGCCGAGAATGTAAACAAAAGCGAGGTAGACTCGGAGGGCTACGGGCCAAGCTAAGGCTAACACCACATCGGCTGCCTTTACCCAGTATCTTCCTCGCCAATGTCCGCTCTCTGTAGGGCTGGGCGATATGGCAAAATAGAATATCACGATTTTTCCAATATTTTATCACGATTTCGATTTTATCACGATTTTTTATCCATGAATAGCATAACTTCAATTGCATATTAAAGAAGAGAAACATTGAATAAATAAACATTTAATCATATTAGGGATAATCAACACAGTGCTAACACACTTATATTTTAAACTCACACCAGAGATGATAAAAGCCCTGAGAGAAACAAATACAAAAATCTGTTTTACTCGTTTTTCAAGTAACTTAACATAAATTTAAATCGTAAACATATTTAAAGTGCAAACATGTCAATTGCAAACATATTGTGCAAACATTAACTTGTTCAAAATACTATGTAGCTCCTAGTTGCTCATGTAGTGGATAGCTCAAATATGGCTCTGATGTGCGGCTGGACCAGAGATCGCTTCTGGTAGCAAAAAACTGCGCATTCTGAATATTTTCTGCAACTCTCACTTTGCATTCAGCGTACTAGCGTGGAATGGTGGTGTTCGAAAAATACTTGCGGCTGGAAAACTCGTAGCGCGGATCCAATGTTTTTATCATTTTCTTAAATCCCGCTCCTACTGTTCGCACGGGACACAAATCTTTAACCAAGTGGTACGTCACTGCATCTGTCACGCTGTTCCATCGTCTGCTGTCTCTGTCGTAAGGAGTGAGTTTTGTGAGTGTTTCTGCTAGCGTTTGCTGCCTGGAAGAAGCACTAGCCGCTGTAGCCGCAGGCTTTTTAGTTTTAGCTGCCAGCTGGCTCTCATTGTATTGTTTGGAATGCCTTCTTTTCAAGTGATTAAACAAGTTTGTGGTGTTGCCATCACTTGCCTTGATGCTCTCCTTGCAAACTTTGCAAATAATGTTTCGCTGCTCTTTGTCATCTGGTGAAAAACCAAACCAGTTCCATATAATGGATAGGGATGGGTACCTTTGACATTCGAATCGATCCGGTACTCATTCCCGGTACCTACGAATCGATACCGGAAATTAACGGTACCAATTTTCGATACTTTTGAGTGTTTCATATTTTAATTCTCTTTTATAATTAAATATATATTTTTCTCAATATCTAACAATATTTGATAAATATCACGATAAATAACATTCAACTGTTTGTATTTTAAAGGGACTATAGGCAAGTTTTACAGCCAGAACATGTATAGAAATAAAAAATTTCTTCTTAAAACATTCTCCTGCAATGCCCTGGTTCTGTAGAATGAGCCCTGGCATTTTACTGTGATTGTCTCTATAGGTCTTTAAAATCAAAAATAAGATTTTGCTCGGGTCCAGCAGGCAGGCTTCACCCGAGTCTTCCAGAGGCAGCGTAATGCGTGATGACGTCATGCGCGTTCACGCTCAGGCCTATCCCCGCAGCGTTTGTTTACTAGCGATAGCTTAGCGGCAGAGCGAGAGGTGGTTTAGCTAGCATGGATTCAGCAAAGAACAAGAAGAGAGCTGCTTCAAGCACTAGCGGAACTCCAGCCCAGACCCCAAACAAGTCAAAGAAACCAAGAAGAGTGTATTCCAGCGCAGGTAAACGGGCAAAACTCGAGTATGATCGCCGAAGGCAACGAACGAGGATAAATATCGGTCCAGCATTTGAGGAGTGGAAAATGCTGAGAAAGTCTCTCAGGATGAAAACACACCCGCAGCTGGCATCATTTTTCCTGAAAAGGTAAGAAATTATTACTAAACACGTGTGGGGAAAGGGCTGTGGATGCTTTCAAAGTAAGATGGGGGGTTTCCATATATCATAACATTTATAGGCTGCTTGTCTAGCGTCTACACATCAGATTACCTATTTCCAGCCGCATCAGCAAAAAAAAAAGTGTTTTCTACACACCAGCACCCAAATACAAGCTGGCGCACAGCGTATGTTTGGCCATAACACAAGATAATTAGACAGAAAGACGCTACACGGAATTTTTTCGTTGTTGTTTTAATTCACAAAAACGAATTTTAAACACGGGTGAACGTGCCTGCAAGTTTAGAGCCGCACCATGATATTTGCTGCAGGCTTCAAAGCACAGGGAAATAATAGTGGCTTTTAGGCCGGAAATTACAGTATATTGTTAGTGTAATGTACTAGAATTGTGTAAAAGAAGTCTAAACTTTGTAAAACTGCGTCGCTAATCAAATCTATTGTTTATATAACAGAATCTCAATTGTTAACGTGTACACATGACTGGAGTATTAAAAGTTGCTTTACTTTTTTAGTTATGAGAAGCACGCTTCATCAAAGGGACCACTTACATCAACACCACGTGGGCCATCTACAGCAGTGTTAGCAGGTCTTTGTCGCCCCAGTTCAGTAACTGCAGGGGAATCTGATAGGTAAGTTCACTTGTAAACAAAATGCAACTCATATGTCAGATAATTGTTCTCCACATCAAATAAAATAAATACTGTGTACTTGTCAACAGGGATGACTTCCAGATCGCAGGAGTTGAACCTCTAAAAGCAGATCAAGAGGTATAATTGTTGGAGGAAAGGTAAATATGCAGGGCTTTTAATCATTTGATGCATACCCTCTGTTTTCATAATTAATGTATTCTGTTTGTTTTTGTAGCATCAAATCGATGGAGCTGAAAGTGGACTATTTAGACGAGGAAAGAGCCAATAGTTTGGAAAACAGTTTGTAAGTAACAAATTATTGTCATTGAAATGATATATGTCAGTATATATTGTCATATTTTGCTGCTGTATTTAATTCCAGATTAGAGTTTGAAGGAGAAGGAGCTTTAGACCCGTATGACTCAGATTATGTACCTCCAATATCAATAAGGTATGTTTCATAATTGAATTTTTTAAATAAGTAGTAACATCCCCACTCTCACTTTCTATTCACTGATTATATATATAAAAAAATCTTGTGCAATAGGTGTGTCTCACAGGATGAAGTTGACCAACTTCCTAGCATTGGCCTGGATGAAGCTGTATTTGACTGTATCTTTTTCTACTCACGATGTAAATGTTTGTATTTTCTACTTTGTGTGTTTTTAGGATGTCTGGAAGGGTGTACTTCACCACGTGACTGGAGAGCATGAATGGGGCTTTGGCAGGTGCTTTCATGCTCCTTTGGCGGAGAACCCAGACAAAGAGCTCATTCCACATGGATCTGCTGCACATGTGGCGCTTTCACGGATTGTTCTGAACCAGCGATGGCTAAAGGATATAGAGAAGTTGCTCACCTTTAGGTAAATTACTGACATTTGGTGGAAATGTAAAGTTATTGTCTTACTAACAGTAAAACAAAATTGGAAAACAACAATGCAGCTTTTTTCTAACTAATACAATCTCTGCACTTGGATCTGAGTTCTTTCCAATAACAAGTACCATAACAGTTACTTATACCACACCAAACAATGCAATGAAGCAGAAGACCGGTTTTATTGTCTTCTCTGCCTGGTGCTACAATTGAAGTAGATTTAGATAAAATGTAAAACACAAATAAACAACCACTAATATGAAATTTTATCTGAAAATTAATATTTTAGATGAAAATACTGCTGTTTCTACATTTTTAGTATTGGTTCTTGTTATCTGTAAACTACACATATGAGGACATTAGATTGGTATTGCCCTGATTCCAGTATCTGTAATGTTGTAATACCTACCACAAAGTATATTATATTGCGCTGAGTTAGAATTTATTTCTTCTACAGACATTGTTTTTTTCCCCCAGGACCACTGCTGAGCTGGAGTCGTTCCAAAATCACATCTTGATGTACGCCGGGAAACGCTTTGCATTCTCATTTGGTGTTTATGAAGCTAGGACACTCCTCGCTGCATTAGACTACAACCACCATAACCATCGCCCAGTGCATCTGATACCTAAACAGAGGCTGATGGCAATCAAAGTTGAACACTACAGATTTGTTTATGTAAATATGTACAAAAAGTTTGCAACAACAATAAAAGTAAGTCAAACTTCTGAGTTGGTCATGAGTTGCATGTTTGTTTCAGCGGAAGGGGGCTTCTTTATAACCAACATAAATCCCAAAGTGGTCAGGGTATTTGTCTCTAATCCACCAAACACAGCAGGAAGGAATCACCCTACGATTGCCAGCGCCAAGACGTCCATATTGCCAAATAGTGTACTGTCTATAGGCACAGTAACGGTACTCCCGATTATCTGATCCAGGGTCTTGGCTATCACGCAGAGCCAAAATGTCATTCCACGTCTGCCGAGCCAAACGCAGGATGCCTTCATCCATGCAGTACAGGTTAAAATGAGCACGCCTGCTCAAACACCATTCTGGATCCTGTCTACAGCACTTGTTTTCCAGGTCTGTAGGCATCATTCGGCAGTAGGAGCAGGTGCACCAAGCTGGCTAACCCTGGTTTGATGGAGGGTGTCCTGGTGTGGCCTGTCTATAGTCCATAATGTCCAGTAACACTCCTGGCAGACGTCTAACAACCATCTGAAGGACTTCATCTTTTTCATCCATACTTAGGTGTTGCAACTGTGCCTGAAAACGAAAGGCAGCATTTATTTTATAAACTTTATGATTGTGAAATGTATTAGTGTTCTGCATTATGACCAACCTGTAACTCTGCAGTTCTGTCAGCAGACATCTGAGCAACCCGTTCTCTGTCTTCCTCACTAATGCGTCCAGCTCTAGCTCTTCTTCCTCTAGCCTGGCTTCTCCCCCGGCCTGTACTTTCATATATGTTTCTCCCTCTGGCTGCTCCTCTCCTTGTTCCTCTTCCTGCTCCTCTTCCTGCTCTTCTGCCTGCTCCTCTGCCTGCTCTCCCTCTGCCCCCTCCAGAATCACTACTCTCTTCAGAAACTTCGGAGTAATGAGATGCACTGGATTCCTTGAAGGAAAAGTAATAAGGTTTACACGTTGATGTGATGGAATGCATGTTTTACAAAAGCTTCGCTGTAATAATCCATAAAACATTTAGGTAATGGTGTATTTACATTTGATGAAAATAATGTTGCTAAGACTATCGTTACCTGGATGCAAAAGAAAAGCAGAGGTGGGTAGAGTACACAAAAGGTGCACTCAAGTTATAGTAGCAGTACCTCTATGTATTTTTACTCAAGTAAAAGAAAAAAAGTAGCAGTCCATCACATGATTTTTTTTCTAGTAAATGGCCTGTACTTGTCAAGTAGCAACCAGTAAAGTGCTTATTAACTACCAGTGCAATTATTTTAATATTACAATAGGGCCTACGTTTATGCATAATTTGTGTACTAGTATTTTTTTCAACATCATACATAATGTATTCATATATCGGTATTATTATGCTTCCTCACTCAACTCACTTTGCTGTGCATGCACCTATCACAACCTGGAAAATATGCAGCCCAAATTGATTTGGTCTAAATATTTTACGATTATTACCTCTGTCGAAGTCATGCCGGCAAACCTGTAAATTACACCGGTAAGGGGCTGACGCAGCTGTTTTTGTTCGGGAGCGTGCACATATAGCACGCGCGCCTCGTGCACGAGCCTACTATTGAAGCTGCAGTTACACCTTTGGCCTGAGGGGGCAATAGCGAGCATAAAATTTCAAAACTGCCTAAGGCACCTTTAACATTGTCCTTGTAGTTTTATAAGCTGATAATTAAACTGAAGCAAACATCTTTACTGTGAACTATATTTACTGTGTATCTTCATTCCTTTGGCCGTCTTTGTTAGTTTGATTTTTCCTACTGGGAAGTTAGAATTTCCGAGGAGAAAGCGAACGCACCGTTAGCTTATAACAACGGTGGCAATGGAAGCTAACATATCAAGCTAACGTTATCTTTAACAGTTTATTTAACTGCTGGAGCAGATTAAAACGATGATGCCTCACACTTTGATCGTTGTCGCTGGTTTCGTCTTCACCCAATCACCCGTCGCATTTAGTAAAGTGAAGCCAAACTTTAGAGCGCGTTCATGTTCATCTAGTCGGAAATTCGGAGTTTCGAGGAGAAAGTGAATGCACCATTAGCGAAACGGAAGCTAACATATCAAGGTAACGTTATCTTAAACATTTTATTTACCTACCACAGCAGATTAAGATGAGGATGTCTCACTTAGATCGTTGTCTGTCGCTGGTTTCATCACCCAGTTACCCATAACATTTAGTGAAGTGGACCCAAGTGTTAGCGTGCATTCTTCTTTCTACCCATGCTGCTCTGTTTACAACTCGCTCGCAGGGACTGATGACATAACGCTCTTGCATATGCACAGCTTTCTTGGCAAGTTCTCGTTATGAAGGACGGGTACCGAAACGAGGCACCGTTTGAAATGACGTGAATCGGTGCTCGGTCGGTACTATAGAAAAGGCGTTCCTCTTCGGAACGAAAACTTCGTTGTCGCTCTCAGCTGCGGCCGAAGCCATGTTTGTTCACACACAGGTGAAAACAAGTGGGGCACTAATATATTACTATGACTCACTCTGATTGGTTAAGGGTCAAACAAAGGCGTGTCATTCGTCTGGGGTAAGTTCCCCTTTCACTCAAAGGCAGAAATTCAACAGCAGAGCTGTGAATCGTGATAAAAAGGTCTCTCAAAAATGACAGACCGTCAGATGTGTAGATCGTAAAACGGTCTAAAATCGTCATATCGCCCAGCCCTAGTTCTCTGGCAAACAAAATGGATGAGATACTGCTCTCCATGACTAACAACAGACGGATTATGGACTCCAATGCCATGTTTTTTACCGAAACATGGTTGAACAACAGCTGCCCGGACAATGCTATCGAGTTAGCAGGACGCCACATACACCGAGCCGACAGGCTAGCAGATGACTCCGGCAAGACCAGAGGTGGACGTTTGTGCATTTATATTAACAATGCTTGGTGCATGAACTCCACTACTACTGAGAGTCACTGCTCACCCAATGCGGAGTTTTTAATGGTCAAATGCAGATCTTATTATCTCCCCTGAGAGCTCACCTCGATCATACTACACCCCCCCACCACCCCTCAATGGTAATGCTAGGTTGGCCATGAAAGAACTTTCTGCAGCCATTAACAAATACCAGAATAAACACCCCGAGGCTGCTTTTATTGTTGCTGGCGACTTCAACCACACCAACTTAAAGACAGTCCTCCCCAGATTCCACCAACATGTCTCCTGCCACACTAGAGCCCCCTTCAGACAGGCCATGAAAAACGGAAATGTTCCGGAATCTGTCCGTAAGACCTTTCTGTCTGAATACAAACATCCGGATAACGTGTTCCGGAATTTATCCGGACGAAGCCCCTAGTAACAGGTCCGGACATGTTACGGACAGGGTGGCTGCTTCAGACAGGTGAGGTAAAGTTCCGGACAAGAGGGAGGGGAAGGAGGAGGGGACCGGGGGACGCTATGCGCACCTAGATAGCCCGCTGCTGTAGCATGCGGCAAACCACGGCAGCTCGCCTCCTACGGTACCGCCTAGACGCGCGACGGAGCGCTTCACACCGCTTCAGTGATTCCTTTAACCATTGAGCTTCATCATCCAGGTCTCTTATGCGTCTTCTTGTGCGCAGAATTATGCTTAAGCACCTCGTGATTTTTATCTTGAGAGGCGCTATAGAAATGATATTTTCTTCTTCTTCTTCTTCTTAACATAAGTCCGATTCCCCCCACCCCCTGCCGCCGTCAGACATCTGGAACTTTTCCCTGCTGTGTGAACGCAGCCGAAAGGACAAGTTCCGGTACAAAAGTGGTGTGTCTGAAAACACAGTTCCGGTTAAAAACCGGATTGAATTGTCCGCAAATGTTCCAGAATGTCAGTCTGAAAAGGGCTTAGAGGAGACAAGACTTTAGACAATGTTTATTCCAACTTGGCTGGAGCCTACAAAGCAACACCCCTCCCCCACATTGGACAATCGGACCATCTCTCCCTGTTCCTCACACCTCAGTATTCACCACTCATCTAACATGTTAAACCTGCTGTGAGGACAATTAAAGTGTGGTCAGAGGGGACAGACACAGTGCTCCAGGACAGATTTAAAAACACAGACTGGAATATGTTCATCAACACAGACCTGGACCAGTACGCCTCATCTGTACTGGATTACATCTCCGTAACCACAGACAGTGTCACCACCCAGAAAAGGATCACCATGTACCCCAGTCAGAAGCCTTGGATGAACCGGGATGTTCGCCTCCTACTGAAGGCCCGCAACACCGCTTTTAGGACAGAAGATGCACACGCCTACAGTACAGCCAGGGCTAATCTAAAGAAGGGCATTAAAAAGGCCAAACACCATTACAAAAAGAAGATAGAAGAACACTTCTCCAACTCCAACCCCCAACGCATGTGGCAAGGACTCCAGACCATCACAGACTACAGGATCACCAAACCCTCCCCCGCATCCTCTGATGTTTCCTTCCTCAGTGAGCTCAACAACTTTTATGCTCGTTTTGAGCTAGGGAACCTCACAATCACAACCATAACAGACATGAGGCCCATGCTGTGGTACCGGCCTGCTTCAAATCCACCTCCATCGTCCCGATACCCAAAAACTCCAACCCATCTAGCCTCAATGACTACCGCCCGGTAGCACTCACCCCATCATCACTAAGTGCTTAGAGCAGCTGGTCTTAGCATTCTGGCGTAGGTGTTGGTGTTGTCCAGGTGTGAGAGGACAGAGTGCAGTGCAATGGAGACTGCATCCTCTGTGCTCCTGTTCTGGCGGTATGCAAAATGGTGGGGGTCCAGGGTGGGGGGGAGACAGGATTTGAAGTGTGCTGTTTATAGACTTCAGTTCAGCATTCAATACAATCCACCCCTCACAACTCATCAGGAAAATGACAGACCTGGGGATCAGTTCCCTCACCTGCAAATGGTTACTGGACTTCCTGACCAACCGCCCTCAACATGTCCGACTGGATAACCGCTGCTCATCAACAATCACAATGAACACTGGTGTACCACAAGGCTGTGTGATGAGCCCTTTCCTCTACTCCCTTTTCACCCACGACTGCAGACCTGCTGATGGTCCCAACACCATCATTAAGTTTGCAGATGACACCACAGTGATTGGCCTCATCAGTGACAATGATGAGACCGCCTACAGGGAGGAGGTGGACCGTCTGACTGAGTGGTGCGACACAAACAACCTGCTGCTCAACACTGAGAAGACTAAGGAGCTCATCGTGGACTACAGGAGGAATGCTGACCCACATCCACCCATCCACATTAAGGGGACGGCAGTGGAGCGTGTGAGCAGCTTCAAGTTCCTGGGAGTCCACATCTCCGAGGATCTCACCTGGACTACCAACTGCTCCAAGCTGGTCAAGAAGGCTCACCAGCGCCTCTTCTTCTTGAGGACTCTGAGGAAGAACAACTTGTCCTCAGACATCCTGGTGAACTTCTATCGCTGCACCATCGAGAGTATCCTGACCAACTGTATAACAGTCTGGTATGGGAACTGCTCCGCCTCGGACCAGAAGGTGTTGCAGAGGGTCGGGAAAACTGCCCAGCGCATCGCCGGAGCACCACTTCCTGCCATAAAGGACATCTACAGGAAGCGGTGTCTGAAAAGGGCAGGGGAAATCATCAGAGACCACAGTCACCCATCACATGCACTGATCACCCTGCTGCCCTCTGGGAGGCGCTACAGGAGCCTCCGGACTAAGACCACCAGGTACCGGAACAGTTTCTTCCCAACAGCTGTCAGACTCCTGAACTCTGCCTCCTGACATATGACCCACGTTAAACTCATGGACTGCTTGTATTAACTACAGCCTGTACATACTTATAGTCATAGAATATTCATAACATACTTCATACCGTGTACATTATAACATACGTAATAGATCAATTTCTGTAATATACTTGCACATCTATATTATTGCTAATATACATTGTAATACATCTATATCACGACTAAAGCACTTCTGGATGGATGCAAACTGCATTTCGTTGCCCTGTACCTGTACATGTGAAATGACAATGAAGTTGAATTCTATTCTATTCTATTCTATTCTAAAACATTCTTCCTCTCCTGATAATAACTTTTTGCTTTTCCTTGACGTTGGAT